ATCATCCGGTTGGGAATTCAGTTCAGGAGTAACGTCTTCGACACTCGCTTGAGCAGCATTGTGTAGCTGAGAAGTGTAGTGACTTCCATCATCATCGTCATCATCATCGTCGTCATCATCATCATTATCATGCGATGCAGCTGCATAAATTGCAAAATCTGGTTGGAATTGCATTTCAGGAGTTACCTCCTCGACATTCGCATCATGTGACTGAGATGCGTAAGGATTTTCATCATCATATTCATCATCATATTCATCTCTATAATCAACTGCTTCTTCGTGTTCAAAGTGCAGCGCAGCAGTATCTTGGTCGACGTCTTGGGCATTGTTCTGAGACTGTGTGAAGTAGTAGTCATCAATCTTTTCATCTTCTGGTTGAAACTGCATTTCAGAGGGGTCGTGTTCCGCATCATGAGCAACGCGCTGTGACTCAGGAACATGCTGATTACCCTCATCATTATCATCATTATCATCATCAGCTGCAGCAGCAGCAGCAGCAGCAGCACTTACATCATCATCACGTTCATCCGAATGCTGTACAAAAAACTGAGCATCCAAGTCGGCTTCCGGTGCTGACGGTTGAGACTGATGAATGTATTGGTTTTCATCGTCCTCTGGTTCAAACTGCAATTCAGGAGAATCTTGGGCAGTTTCTAAGTCATCCTCTGGTGCAGCAACGTCTGGTTCAAACTGTAGTTCAGGAGAATCCTGGCCTGTTTCTAATTCATCCTCTGGTGCAAAAGGTTGCGAATGAGGAATGTAGCGATGGTTTTGATCGCCATCCCTATCGTTACCTGAAGCATCGTCTGGTTCAAACTGCAATTCAGGAGAATCTTGAGCAGTTTCTAAGTCATCCTCTGGTGCAAAAGGTTGAGATTGACGATTGTAAAGATCTGAGTCGTCATCACTACCATGACCTGCAAAGTCTGGTTCAAACTGCAATTCATTAGATTCCTTTGCAGTTTCTAAGTCAGCCTCTGCTGCATCAACGTCTGGTTCAAACTGTAGTTCAGGAGCTTCTCCCTCAATATCTAAATCAGCCTCTGGCGGAGAGGGTTCAGCGTGACGCATATAATCAGTTCCTTCGTCCGGTCCAAACAACAGCTCAGGTGGCTCTTGCTGAGACTCTTCTTCATTATTTTGTGACTGAGGAAAGTAGCGATTACCAAGTACATCAAATCCGACGTCTGCTTCGGAACCAACATGGATGCTGAGCTCTTGAGGATCTAAAACATAACGATTCTTATGTTCATCATTATCATCATCATCATCATCATTAACGACAGCCGCAGGAGTAGCAGTATATGCGCCAAAACCATCGTCATAATCAATTATGACACTCTGGGGCTTCCTTTCTTCACTATCTGCAGCAGTGCCACTTTTTTGATCAAGATAACTGTTCCCTTTCACTTGATGATGTTCGTCGTCTGGGTATCCTTCTGCACCAGTGCTAACCCTTTGAGGTTGTAAAATGCCACGAGTGTCTGTTTTGTCCTCATCAAATTGAATTAATAGCTCTTGATTCATTTGTTCGTGAGAAGAAACTTGCGGTCCAGCATCGACTTCCCCACCAAGTAGCTCAGAGTCAAAACCAAGGGGTCTTTGTTCTTCATGAAGTAAGTCGCTTAATGAGTTAGAAGCATTAGCTTCGGGTTGTTCTTGCTCCATCATGCCAGTTCTTCTGTCATTTCTTTCTGCATTCCCTCAAATTGAAGTATATCTACAGGAATAATAGGAATAATGGCTTTCAAACCCTATGAATCGATAATAATGTTGTTAGGAATGGTGACCCGGGGTCGTCTAAACGTCGAATACTTTAGTCTATCATCTTTCCTTTAAAACAATATAAATATACGAATGTTTTTAGCCATTTTTACAGGTGCAAACAGAAAGGTGTTGCAAGGCGAAACGAAGTTCATTTATTTATTTATTTTTTATATTTTCATTTATTTTTTTATGAAATCCGTCTTGCAATGCAAAAACATTCTATTGTTCTGGCGTTAGTTTAGTTACAAGTCTGCTATCTCTGTTACTGAAAAAAAAGGAAGAAAAAAGAAAAATGGAAAAAAAAATCAAAAAACAAAAATATGGGGAAAAAATAAAATATTCAAAGACAACATTTAGCTCGAAAAAGATCAAAATCAAAAAAATTAAATCAAAAATCGAGAATACAACTCACAGTTACCGTAGAAACAGAAACGTTTTATCACAAATTCTAATGAAATAGTTAACTCCATAATTAAAAATAATGAATTCAAGTGATTAAACTGTCAGCGTGTGATAGATGGATGCATCTGCGTTACGTCAGGTAATTATAATAAAGTTTCATTGAAGCCTGAAACAAAACAACCTCTTATTTAACCCAGGTGGATAGACACCTATTCCAAAAAAACGTTGTCATCGCCAAAGGCGATAGACAATAGAACGATAAAAACGATAATAGCGAAAAGCGATAGAAGATATAGGTCATTCCAAGATCTACGAATAGCTGGAATGACTTGTATTTCTGCTTCTTATTCTTGTCAAGAACATGGACCTTAGTGTTGAGACTGATTCAAAATTGGAAAACTTTTGCAAAATATTCTTAAATCAAGGAAGAAAAGCGAGCAGAATAATTTTCAGAGATAAATAACAAAACTATCAGGTTTCTGTGACCACAGTAATTCTGAAAAGACCTAAATTAATTTTCCTATTGAAAAATTACTCCTTTTCAAATGTTTCAATAACACAATAGTTTTCAGACATAAATTACAGAACTATCAGGTTTCTGTGACCACAGAATTTTCCTATTGAAAGTTTACTCTTTTTCAGATGATATTCCTTACGTGTTTTTTCTGTTAATTGAGTACATTCAAAATAGTTTTGTAAAGTATTAAGGAGGTCCATGATTTCATAAGTTCAAAACGAAATAAACTAAATAAATATTTTACCAAATATCATTTCACGCTAAAGTAGTCTGTACATAAATTTTCTGCACGATTTGTTTCTATTGTCATCCACTTAATTAATAATCAATATATACAATTAATATAATTAATTTCTCCTAATTTGTTGTGGATTATTTTGATAATCAATATTGACATCCATGGGTGTTATGTTTGCCTACTCAGTTTTATTTGAAATTAGATTCTGATGATGAAACCAGCCAATCAATGGGCTATTTTTTGGGTCACATGATGTTACTTCAAACCTAGTCAAAGTCCTGTGAAAGGACTGAATTAATTTTGTTCAAGTCCTTGGACTGGATCAAAATTAATTCAGTTCATGAAACAACTTCCCGAATTATTAAAGAGTATGAGAAGTCATTTCAAAGACTCCAAATCGGACTGGACGGGATTTCAAGTCCTTGCAATTAGTTCCAGTCCTCGGCTGCTCCTCAAACTAGAACTTATAATTGCGCGGCCTTGAAATCTCATCCAGTCCGTTTTGGAGGCCTTGAAATATTATGTCAACTCTCGCTACAGCAGAACCCTCGGTACCATCACTTGGTGTCTAATAGAGGTCATTTCTTTTTCAGGTATTTTTGCTGGAGATTTTTGTCCTGTCCGCAATAGCAAGGTGTCCGTAATATCAGGGTGTCCACAAGGCGAGAGTAGACATGAATATATGCTCAGGCAGTATAATATATCAGCTATACTACACATACGACCTAATTCAATAAGCCTTGCATGGGTCATTCAATAATAGCTCATCAAGAACACTGATTCAATGTTCTTTGTATTCAACAAAACCATTTCCATATCACCTTTGGCAGTTTATATATTTGATGATAATAAATAAGCAAGATTTAATATTTCAAACAGTACTTAGATTTATCCATACCAACCATTGGAGGAAATCGGTAATTCCCAGGGGGTGCGGGTCAGAGGAAAAAGAAAACAAAATTACGAGGTTTCTATGTAAGAATTGCAATTTATAAAATAACTGTTATAAATCTAGCAGTCTTATTGGTTGGGAGTGCTTGCTTTATGAGAGCACACAGTAGGCATGTAGCCTTGTATTTTATGACAGGAATAAAATGCTTACTGTGCTGTGTGGAGTTATTAAGCACTTGGAGACTGGCAGAACATTCAAGAATTGCCGAGAAGCACTCCACTATGCAAACACTTTTAACGTGTTCTACCTATCCCAGCGACCTTTACAACAGCACACAGCACGCGTGCTTGTTAAGTGGTAAGAATTTTTAAAAAGGTTATTATAATAAATTTTAAAAAATATATCATGCATATATTATTGAGGGTCAAGCATGGGTGGTGTAGCAGGTTGGATTTCCGACGAGCTCGATGTTGTATGTGATTTGAGTTACTTGATTGTTTGTTCTCTCCTGTGCTTTGAGGGTTTTTCTCTGGGTTCTCCGGTTTTCCTCCCTCCACAAAAACTAACTACTAGATTCTAATTTGATCCTAGGAGATGTTCATGATAGTGCTAACCTCAATATCTCCTTTCACACTCACTGATGCGAATAAATTAAGTTTGTTTTACGCAATTAAGAAATAATAATAAAATTGTTATAACTGTACATAAATATAGTATAAAAATTAAAATTCCTGTAGTATCAAATGTTTCTTGTACAGTAATCTGCATATCAGCCACCCACATAGCATTCTTCGGTAGCTAGCTTAAATATATACCATATAATTGCATGGAGCATAAATGTGTATAACTTATTTTCACACTGATCACTGCTCAACAGGAGCTCTTTTATGTGGATCTGTGAGATACAATACCTAATAGCTCTATAATAATTACAAGTCTGATTGGAAGTTTCTAGACTAGAAATCAAATCAACAATATATTATGATTTTTATGAAATAGTATTCGATATCACTATAACACCCCTACAAGCAATCACATTTAGATCATCAAAGTAATTCTAACTAAATATCATTAAGCTATGCAAGAGAGGACATGATTTTATTCTCCCAAGAATTAGAACTAAGCATTTTAAATGCTGTTTTATAAATAGATGCTTGTACAATTTTATTTAGTTAAGTTCACTTTTTTTTAATTTCAATGTAAACTCAAACGTTCGTTTGGTAGTAATTTCTAATAAAGACATTTTATTTTATTTATTTTATATTTATTTTAAAGTAACTAACAACCAACTAACTAACAAATTCTGAAGACAATGAAAACACTGACAGTTAGCTTTACTGATGGGGTACATAACATGCATGCATGAGGAAGTAAATGCATTCCTACATTACATAGCCAGCAATTGATATAAATGCTGTATGTATCGGGAGGGAATAAGCTCAATCATATATAATCAAGATATTAAATCGATCAATGATAAATAAGTATAGGCGTTAATTTATAATTTTTTATGTGGCATATTGTAGTATCACATAAATGTCTTGTGACAAAATTTGTATTCATAGATCTGTATGCAAAAGAATTAAGACCCATCTTCCTAGCTGTCATGCGATGACAGCTCCATTCAAGGCAGGTTAAAATCAGTTTAACTTGTACACTTCCTCAATCCCTCTCTCTATCAGCTAGTGCTTTTTAATTTAGTAAAGATATTCAAAGCTAAGGCTACATGGAGAGAAGTTATTGAGATCACCCTTGTAAGTTAATGAGGCAGTTAACACACTCTACAATTATCATACGATCAGATACATTTTGATTCAGAATTAGCTTATAAATTTGAAAGACTATATATCCGGATCCACCTCCAAAACCTTAGAATTTCCATTGAATTTTTTGTCCTTTGTTGTTGACTACAAGACTCAGCCTTCCCAGGAAGTCAAAAACTGTGTTTAATATTTTCATCAAGAGAAAATCGACTAAGAACCTCTGTTTGTGGAAAGTTGAATAGTTTTTGAAAATTAATATAGATCGTGTTGTTTATATTAGATAATTTATAAGAATTCAAAATCATTTAGAAATACTGAAATGTTATTTAAAATGGTATCGAGTACAGTGAACAAATGTCAATTTAATAAAAATAAAAATTTATAAAAGCGAAATACAAAGGAGATTTATCAATGTCAGTCTATACGAGTAGTTGTCCAAAATGGTTGCCATCAAAACAAGAGAATGAGAGGCGATTTTTGACCATAAACAACTCAAAAATACAACACATTTACCAGGAAAATGATAGTAAACGATAGTTGTTTCTCTATAGCAAGAGTCAGAACACTTAATCGTAAATTATGTGTCGAAAAAGGATAAAAACTAATGAAAACAAACGATGAATGAAAATGTTAAGAAGCGACGAAGGGGTGAACATTTGCGATAAAACACTAAAATCACGTCAAATTGACTTTAAAAAAATAATAGATTGTATCAATATGAGTTAAATAATCATATCTTACCTCTAAAAATGAATTCCAAGGTTGGTCTTTCAGTAAAAACAGTTAATCTTGGGAGAGAAATTATTTACATGTGAAAGCGTGGAAACACACAAGCAGCATCATGTCGCTATTACACCTCCCCCCACAGTCAAAAATTGGTTTGGTTTCTTTCCTCACGCAAAGAAAAAAATTGTCTCGACTTATTCGCACGATAAAGATAAGCAAACTTCTCAATATCTTTTTATTTTCTTTTAAATTCTGAAAAATTTCCCAGTCAAATATTTTTGGGTAAGTAAAATTTAAACTCAGTTTTAATTCCCCAGGAGGAGGGTGTTGAAGCTGATATTGTCACGCTAGCGGAACTGATTACTGTGGGTGACTATGTACTAGTAGTGCGCTATGGCTTTCGGGAGTTAAAGTAGTTGTTAAGTTATGGCAGTAAACTTTTAAAAAGAAGAGAACATAACCTAACTTATCAAAACACTAAAGTTATTATTAAAAATCCTATTACCACAGGGAACCCATAAATAAGAGTTAGTTTTTGACTGTCTTCAAGAGACACAAATAGTTTATGCTCTTTATCATTTTGCTGTTTTTGCTTTGTTTTGTTTTTGTTTTTGATTTTTTTTTACTCCTCGTTATTTTTCGTCTTGTTTGTTTATTTGATATTTGTTTGTTTTAGTTTTTTTTAAGTTTCTTGTTATTGTTTTTTGTTGTTGTCGTTTTAGTGTTTGTTTGATGTATTTGCTTTCTGGATAGCTTTAGTTTCCTTTTCTATTCTTTTTTTTTTTTTCTGCAGATCCTTACCTCTCTTCTTTTTACCATTAATTTTATTCTTTCTTTTACTTGATTTCTTAGTTTCCCTCAGCAGTGCTCTTTACCGTAACTGCATAGCTGATCATTTTGAAAATTACCGCACTAGGACGCGTGCACTTTAAAACTTGGGTCTCACGAGGGGGGAGGGGGAGGGGGATATGGGGGCTTTTGACTGGGAGGTCAATCTACTCGGTCACGTTTAGGTGACGTGATGTTCTGGTCATCAGTCTAGTGTGACATGACCTGACAATTTGGTGTTTGTAATGATGTGATTATCATATATCTCGTAGCCCCCTACTAATAGCGGCTGCGTACATATCTCGGTGTCCATTTACAAAAGCTATCTGAAGCAAGCACTACTTCTCGGGTGATCATGGCTTTACTACAGCTTTTCATTCTGATAGTCTTTTGCAGCGTCTTTGGAACTATTAACGGAGTGAGCGATGCTGAAAAGTTTGACTGCTATCCGGAGCATGGAAACCAAAGTCTTTGCGAAGCACGTGGCTGCGTTTGGGAAAAATCGAATACAAAGGTAAATAGCTAAGAACAAGATTCGCTTTAGGGGGAAAAAACTTCCACGTTACATATGAGCATGCTTTAGAACATGTCTCTGTATAGTGTGCGCTAATTTCGTCAGTTTCTACGATCGCAGCAATTTTGAGATGTGTGTGACATCTGTTTGGCTCAATTATAAATATTAAAATATTTACTAGAGAGTTTAGCATTTCGTAAACGTTTACAGCAAACGTCACGTCACTGTTACAGTTGATGCAAGTGAAGACTTCTTTAAAGTGCACATGAACCCTTCGACAATACTTTCAGTACTGATTCTACAT